TGTCCACCCCTGATGTATGGTTTCATTAACAACTACTTAAATACAACTATTTCCTACATTATTTCTTATTTTTTCTTATTTCTTAAATTTAAAAAATAAAATTATATTTCTGTATTTCAGTATTGTGTCATAATTGGCATACTAAAAGATATCTGCCTTCTTACAATAGCAAGCTTCAAGATATTTCTTTCTGATCATAATTCGTTTGGTGTTGTCGATCAATATATTACTTTCCCGACTCTGTTATAGATAACAGAGGAAAGGCAATCGGTCAAAAATGGATTTCCCCTCATGATTTTCACATTTTTGGGCTCAGGAGGCCTTGAAATGTCGAGAAATGCAAACAAAAAAACCACAAGCGGGTGGGGAGATATAGGGGGAATCACGTGTTATATTTCGATTGGGGTCGTACTTAATGAAGATTTTATTTGTTGTTAGCATTTACATTAGATAAACTCATCTCTTCCCTCAAAATTAAGCCTTTTGTCATTTTATAATACTTCAGTTAAAAATATAAAATGTTTCTATAACAAAATCTCATAACAGATGGCGCAAAACACAATTTTATTTATTTATCATGATTAATGATATAAAAGTTATTTTTTAAATAAAATCTCATAACAGCCGGGAAAGTGACGCAACTCGTTGATAGATTTCTTTTATTTTTTGGGGTTTAAGGAATCTCGAAACGTGGAGATTTGCAAAAAAAACTCGGAGGGTCAAATTTTATTTGATTCCAATACTTTCTATAGTTATTTATACACAACACCCAGGAAAGTAAATCGAATATTTCTGACTCGTCTCTTTTAAAACTTATAATGTAAAGCTAAATCAAACAATCGTATTTCACAAAAATATAAAGAAAGCCGAAATAAGTAAAATATCCACAAAACACTTTTAAAAATGCACACGCACTAATGCACTCTTGCCAACGTCGCCTATTGAACGATCGGAATACTGCCGGACAGGCTGCAATTGTCTCTAGAACGAAAACAATAGCAGCTCCCGAACTGTATCAAGTAGCCGATAGCTAGCGCTCAAGTTGTTTTGCAGCGGAAAGAACTTGTTTTATCCATTTGATTAGTAGATAATTTTACTGTTTTCAAGCATTTTTATTTTTCTACGAGAGAAAGAAATAACAGCATGCCGAATAAGTAAAATAAATGATCATAAATGTATACCCATTGCCATAAAAATTAGCGCACCAAGAAAGAATTGTCAGAATCGAACGACACTGTACTGTATAGTACATGTGTGAATGTAACGGTGATATAAGTAAGTGATTAACAAGTAAAAGCAAAAGAATCATTTATTGCAGGAAAAATTACAAATAAAAGAAGGTTATAGTATCCTGTTGTATCTCTAACGTGAATATACCGTGTGTTACAGGTAGGAAATACAGGCACACAGTTGCCATATTGTGTCCTGCAGCATCTATCCATAGTTTCTGCAAGCGATCCTCTAGTTCGGCCAAAATCCTAAGCTGTCCAACTTGGCGTCCCAGGTGATCCCAGACATGTTCGATCGTGATAAATCAGCTGACTGGGTATGCCAAAGAAGTGTAGCATTGTGGTGGAAATAGTCCTGTAACAACCTTGCTGTGTGTAGTCGAACATTGTGGAAAATGGCTCTTGGGAGTCCTGCCATGAGAGACAACACATGTGGATGTCACTAACATACCACTGGGCTGTCATGGTCCCTTAGACCACTACTAGAGGTGATTGGCTATTCCATGATGGCACCCCGGACCATCACACCAGCTGTGGAGTGGTGTGTTGCTCTAAAGTGTAAGCAGAATTGAGACGTTTACCACGGGGTCTCCAGACANAAATGTTGTTTTAGTTTAAAACGTGGTCGTGGACTTAACTAATTCACGTTTACAGCCTTCTGATAAAGACCGTCTTTGTGGAGATGTAAATGGATGGAGAAAGACGGCCAGGTTTCGTCTAACCGATGGCGGCCATCCATTACCTCCAGGTCAAACAGAAAGTCCGTTATTCGAGGCATACGTTATACGAGGCACCACTGTATATCTCAAAGGACGCGACAGGGTTGTTGTAAATTTTAAACGTTTCTTGCCATAGCTGTAAAAATCTAAATATGTTAAACTTAAAAGTCATTTGTTTTCTAACTAATATATAATTGTTTGTAATTCATTTTAAGACCAGGTGTCCACGGAAATTTCCAAAATTTACAACTTTTATACTCACTTTCATTGAACTGGAAAAATTTCTGTCTTTATTACATCTAATATTACGAAGAAATCAGTCCCACTGTACTCGGATAGATATTGGTCCGGTTAGGCTTTTGTTTAAGTAAAATTCCAGCTCTTTCATCAGGGTTTTGTTTACGTCCCCAATTCCCTAATCGCTTAATTATTTAACTACTTCTTAATTAAGCAGAAATAAGTCGAAACCGGTTACTTCGTACTCGAATATCTGTAGTCTCGGGAAAAAAGTGGAAAGACAAATTTTTACCACAAACGGATACATAAATCGTAAATTTAAGGAAAATAAATTCTAGAGCCTTTTCTGTACCTGGAGCATCTCTCTCATTCATTGAATTTAGTCGTAAACGACGCTGTCGAAGTAACGGTTAATTTTTTAACATTATACAAGAATTTTACACATTTTTTTCTACATCCCCTTAAAGATGGGATGTACGAAATCGTAATATCACTGGTTTAACATTGAAATCCGTGAGTAATATAAAATCGGACAGCGGAATAAATATATCAAATATTTTTATGGATTTTTTAACTCCTGTCAACTATACGGAACTATCGTAAAAACGTACCAGTAAATTCTTATCGGTCGGGTTAAGTTATAAATCTACTCGTTATTCACGTAATCGAAATATCTAGTGGGCAGGCGGCTAACAGCCAAGAACCGGTCCTTGATAGAATTGGAATCTTTATATGTGTGCAGCTTTCACCCAAGGTCGTAGGCTTCCACCGGCTAAACCGGGTGAGGTTGGTGCTCTGTAAAGNGCTGTCATGGTCCCTTGGATCACTACTAGAGGTGATCGGCTATTCCATGATGACACCCCGGACCATCACACCAGCTGTGAGGTGGTGTGTTGCTCTAATGTGTAAGCAGAATTGAGGCGTTTACCACGGTGCCTCCAGGCACGAACACAGCCGTCATCAGTAATTTTTCTTTGCATTTTTCGAAGTTTGGATGTCCGGAGTCCAAGAATGTAAAAACCTTGGTAGTCACTTTCTGTCCGATTGTCACGCTTTCCCTCTATTATATATAACAGCTGGAAAAATAAAAACCGAAAACTTTCATATCTGCAATATATTTCCCAACCCCACCGATTAGAACATTTAAAACTGTTTGCAGAATACTGGCATATCAACTACTTTTCAGATGTAGATAAATTAAATTAAAAATAGAATTACTTTACAAATATTTCTATTTAAAACTATTATAATGCTACATATTACGTATGAAAATTTTGTACATAACTTTCTGTTTCTGTAAATAGTGTGTCTGATAAAGAGGTGCATTCGCATTTTCTATATTGTATTTTATTGCATATCTTTATCTAAGAATATAATTGGAAAAACTATATTTTAGCCTCTAAATGAAATTTTCTTTAAATCAAAAATGTATTTATAATCGTCTATATTTAGTTCAAATTATTTTTTAACTTAGAAAGAGCGGAAGATTGGGCCAATTTCTAAAGGCAATTATCATGCCGCTTTTAAATGCAAATCAAGAATTAATGTTAATTGTTTTTCTTGTGTAAATAAAAATTATTAATTTAAATAATTATTGTAACCTGCTATTTTATGGAACAATAATACCGTTTTATTTAATTCACAAAAATATAAGCAAAAGAATTAGGTTAAGTGGATAGTAATAGAGCGTTAAAATGTTTACAAACAATTTTAAATCACGGGGTTTTTTTTCACGAAAATTTAATTATAGGTTCAATTGTGCCGTGAAATAAAAAACAAGATTGCAAAACATTACTCTATACACTTGTTTTCAAGCAGCTTTTTTAAAATACTCTTTCCGCCCTGTGGGCACTAAGAGGGCCTCTTTTTAGTAGGCCCATTATGGGTTCGGCCAGATCCACAATGGGGCGGCCGTGTGGTGAGGGACGGAGACAGACATATCCAAACGAAAAACCCCGAGAAAAAATTCTTGGGAATTTTTTCGATCCGTCTGAAGTCGATCCCGGGTCTCCAAAAGCGGTAGGCTTCAACCTAAACAGCTCGTCCATTCGCCCGTCTTTCTAGCAGCTTACTGCGTTGATAGTAATAATTTCTTTACAATGAATAAATAAAATAAAAACGAATTAATTAATTTTTAAAAATATTGGCTATTTGGTGGTTAATTTCAAGTTAGTAACATTTGCATTGTGGCATTTTGCAGTGTCACCTTGGAAAAAGGGTTATATTCTTTGTTAACATGGGGACTGATGCTATTATTGAATGTTGCCAGTGAAGAACAATAACTTATTTGATCCTAGTATTAAGTTATAGTGGTAAAAATTTGATTACTTTTGTTTTATTTGAAAGACACAACAACTTTTACAGAATATCTAGTTATCGAGAGTAGCTTTTTCAGAACTCTACTGTAATTTCTCTAGTTTTTAAATTTAATAAAAGACAGTGCAACTACCTACCTTTAGTCCAAATTACATAATATCTATTTAATCAGCCACTTCTCAACAGTTAGGATCAGATCATATGAGCATTCATTTTAAACTTATTTTAAATATTTAACACAGTTTCAAGATGACATTATGATTCAGAATTAAAACAAAAGAACATTTCCTGTTTTTTGGCATTTATATTTCTAACATTTTCAGTTAAAAAATTATATAAAACTGATTATTTTTAAAATTTTTCTTTCCATCAAAAAATCTTACATCATAAATTTAAAATCAAATTTTGTTTTGACTTGAAGAAATACAGTAATATTCGTATTTTTTTAATCTTCATATAATTAAATATAAAGTCAAGATATTGATGAAAATTATTTTATTTGTAAATTTAGAATGACTCAGAATTATTTGGTAGGACAATCAGAGTTAATATTGCTAAACCCATGAAAATTAAAGAAGGTTCTGTTAAACCAGGTAAATAACAGATTTATATTTCTGTAAAAATATATTTCTTTTATTTCTGTTTATTCTCGGATACTTAATTTTATTATTATTTTTTTTAAATGTTAACAGTATGGGCTGATGATAGTTGGTTAAAGGAATATGCTGGCAAAACACTTAATGAAAGTGAAGAAACAGAAGATAATAATAAAAGACCTGCTGAAGAATCACTGGTATTTTATTTTTATTTTCTATACTTTTATTATTAATTATCAGTAAATATTATACATTAAACTCATTTGCTTAATTAATTTATTAATTTTTATAAACTCAAATATTATCAGAATGCATATTAGTTCATATCCACGAAAATTTCTGAGATTGACACAGATTCAAATTTGTGACCCCAGAGTAAATATAAAAATTTGCTTGTTTACCATCCAAACCCTAGATATCTATCTGGAAAAGTTAAGAAGGCAGTACTAGTGGCTTAGCCTTTGANTAACTACAAAAGTATAATGAAAATGAAAAAGTTAAAAGAATTGGCAATATTTGAACAGGAATAACTGTTAACCATTGAACTTCAAACTGTTATGGTGGTTGTTTGTAATTATAGCTTAAAATTTTAAGTTAGAGTATGTACTGTTTTATTATTTTATCTGAATTTATTTTTATTTTATCTTGTTTTATATAGAAAACTAATCATATGAACTTTATCAAAAACTATGTTGAAATTTCATAAATAATTTTTCATTTCAACGAGTACTATTTTAAATCGTTATAATGTTTTTAATTTATGTTATTAAATTTACTTCATTATATCAATTTTAGGTACTCAAGCAATGAAAGACTTTATTTTAGAGTTAATATTTTTACTGCCACTTGTAGGAGTGATTTATTCTGAACATTTTCCAAGAATAGGTGAGAATAATTGTACTTAACAAACTTATTGTATATTAAATGTAAAGAAAATTAATCATGAGAATTGTTATTATTATTATTTATTTCTCAAGGACAAAGCCTCTTGATGGGGAAAATACAAAACTACAAAACATTAATTACATAGTCAGCAAACATAATTAATATAATAATTACCTTGAGGAATTACCAATTGCAGTAATTTTTACAATCATATTATAATTGAAAAACAAAGATATCAATCAAAGATTATCATAAAATAATTTCCAAAACTTTATCTCCACTTCCTTATTCCATTTCCTTAAATCATATTGCTTTTGGATTTTCTCAGTAATTCAATAGTTGAAGATTAAATGATATAATAAGTTAGTTCCACCATTACATAATATGCATTCTTGCTTGGAAATCAAAAATAATTTATTATTCCTCTAACTAAATTGAAATTTATTTAGTTTCAACTGTAAGATTTTTTAAAAATAAGAAGTACTTGTAAATTTTCAATTATTCAAGATTTCCATTTTCTGATACTATCAAAGGGTACTATTACAAAACTTGGAAACAGCCAACTTCTATTTTTCTTCTTCCAATAAAAGAAACTTAAATGATTGAAAAAGTTTTCTTTTATAAAATTTGATTAAGTTGTTGTTGTTAAATAGGAAAAAAGAACCATATCTGATTTAATTGATAGTCCAATAATTTCATCTACTTCAGACTATAACTTTATTATAACTACTTTAACTATAACAGCCATAACTTTAGATTCCTTTAAATCCTGTAAATCATAATATTCCAAAGATTCTCTGGCTGACATATTTTATTTAGAAAATAAGTTTCTGACCTGGAATTAAAACCTTCAAGTCCTTCAGTTTAATTGACAATCTCAGTACATAAAAAGGCACAGAACTTTCAAGACCAAATATTTTTTTGAAGGTTAACATTTGAATATTAAAATGTGGTCATTCCAATAACCTCTATGACAATGTTGCATATAATAAAATTGACTGGGATAGTAAACAGTTAATTTTCTTTAACAGTAATATATTTGAATTTTTCAAACCTGCCATTATTGATGGTATCATAATTGCTTTAGACTGACATTTAACTTTTTAACAGGCTCACTGAAAGAAAAATTTCATGTAAAATTTACCCCCAAATAATTCATCTTGTCAACAATATGCAACAAATTTCTTTTAATTAAAATCCTGTAACTTCTTCTCCATCTAGAGCCTTGACAAGACACTTTTGTCTTTTCACAATTCACTGAAAGGAAATACTCTTCTGCAAATACTGAAAAACATCCAAATTTTTTTTTTTTTATAAAATTGGTGGTCTTGCTAAAATTTGAACTGAGTATGTATTAATATACACTGAATATTAGTATCAAATACAGTTGGCTGAGAAGAAATGATTCATCTAGAGCAGAAAACAATCAAATTGTGTGTAAAATATCATAAAAATTTTCAATGTGTTTCATAAAGTGTACAGCAAGAAAATCATACTTCAAACACACATTTACAAATGGAACAAGTGCTATTCATGATGGAAACAAAAAATAGGAAGGTCAGTCAAAATTAACAAGTCACCTTTGAAACAATGAACTTTATTAAACAGAAAGTAAACCTAATCCCCATAGAAATTTAAGCAGTTATTCTACTATTTTACTGGCTAGAAAGTAGCTTTCTGGTAGAACTCTCTTGGTTTTTGGTGCAAACACTCTTGGACAGCCTTCTTTAACTCCAATCAATTGTTATCTGGACCATCAGAAGGTTAGAAGATTTCCTATGTTATTTTTCTTAGAACATCACAAACAATGTTGTTAGTATGAAGCCTTGCATTATGATGAAAGAATCAATCCTTTTGATAGTAAGCTTGGACTTTTCAACTTTATCTAGGCCTACAATACATGCATCATTTTGCAATAGTATGTAGCATTAACAATGATACCATTCTCTGTGAAGTTGATAAGCAATGGTCTTCATGCTCGAGTTCAAGATTTTCTCGAATGATCAACCCCAATGTAGCTTGTGATATATTCAGCCTTTAGGATAAGTTTTGGTAGCTGGATTCTCCATGAGAATACTGGTGTGGACTTGTTGGATCTTCTCTTCAGGACAAAATAGCTGGGTATGATAGTTTTGCTGTTTCTCATGACACCCATGGATTTTAGGTGGTAGCTGATTGCACTTTTGAGTAATGCTACTTACACTTGATTTATATATGAAGACTTTTTTCTGAATACTTTTTTACTATCGTGGAAAGGCTGTATTTGGCATTGGAAAATCCACAAATGCAGCCTTCCCAATATACTGTTATTTTTGTTACTATAATTGGTTTTTTTCAATGAAACTGTCAATAGAATATTCTAGAATGCAAGATGATTCGATTTATCTTTGAACAAGTGAACATATTATTTGCTTAAGGAATTGGCCAATATTAACTGACTCAATCTCTGTATAACCAATTTATAGGTCAACATACAAATAATTTTTAAAAAATAATCTGTTTGGCAATTTGAGACCCATTTTCACTAACTTTTAAAACTATCTCAGTTTGGATGATAAATAATATGGTCACTACACTAGCAATACTTTCACTTAACTGTTTTTTAATATATAGTAAAATGCTGTTGTATGTCTGACTGCAAGAAAACATTGCAAACAAGATGAGTTTTTAAAATTTCTTTCAAATAGAAAACTATTGAAGATATTGCAAATTAACTGAGAATGCAAAAAAGTCAACAGAAGCAAAGAAAGTATGCTCCTACCATATTAGATGTGAAGATTTTATGACACAAATCATATTTGCCGAAAGGGAGGCTTAACTTACACAAGTTTAGATCTACAGTATCCACATTTGCTTATTTGATGATATTCTTTTATAAATGTAACATATTGAATAATGTGGTTAAAGTTTACTATGGGATTTATGTAGTATTAAGGTTTGAGATATTTTTAAGGCTTGTTATTCATAAAATTCTCAATAAATCATCTCTGCTGGTATGTTGTGTTTTCCATTGTTGAATTATGGCAGCCCTAGTAGTATGAATTTTACATGCTATTGAAAATTATCATTAAATATAACTGATTCTGATGATATATCTTTTAAAATACCAGATACACTATACATATAATTGCCATAGAGCAGAATTGACAACTAAGTAAGAATCCTCACTACTGTTTTTTTTTTTTACTGCTAGTTGTCACCACAAGCATCTGTGATTGCCTACAGGCAATCATAGTACTTTATGCACTTTTACCATTATTTCTTCTTTGGTTACATCTGTTTTCACATATCACTTTATCCCTTTGTTGTTTGACATTCTATGTGATAACAATTAGTCAACCTGACTTTACATCATCATGCATACTTTATGATAATATTCATTTCATTTTTGTACTCTGGATAATGACACACAGTGATCTGTATATACAGCACTTGTTCTGTGAAGAATTTTCCTTCCACCTATTCCTTCTACAATCAAAAAGCATGCTGCACTTGTCATCATTTTTTACTGGCTTCCATACTTGATGAAACCTGTTGGACAAATTTGTAACTACTTATTTATTTTCACTTCCTACCAACTGTTTGAAATCACATGCCCCTGTATTTACTTCAAGGTTATGCCTTATCAATTTGATCTTAATAACAAGCTACAATTTGGCACTTTTTTTTACAATATCCGATCTTTTCTAAATATTGCTGACTTAACATAGTTGAAAAAGATAGTGTATACCACTGTCTGTTGGCATTACATAAAAATAATTTATTTTGCGAGTACTTTCAACAATGCGCATGTGGGACAAGCAATTTGAAAAAATTTTGGTTGATGTTCCGGTTCTTTTTCTTTAATTTCAAATGTTTTGTTCTCTCTGAATAATTCTTCCTGAAGAGGACAGTTGTATACTGTTGAAAGTACTTGCAAAATAAATTATTTTTACATAATGCTGACAGACATTATCTTCTTCTATTAATGTTTGGCATGTATAACTATTTAAAACTTTATTTTTAATATATAATTTTTTTTATGCTTTATATGAAATATATGATATCATAATTTAACAGTATATAAATTTATTAAATGTAATGTTTAATAAGATAATGTTTTTAATAAACCAATCATATTAAATGTTAATTAATTATTTATTAATTAAAAATCTTGAATAATTTAATGATTATTTAGAATTTGCTACTAAAATATATGAGCTCCTATTTGCTATCAGTTTTTAATGATTAAACGATTTAATAAATTGTTTATCTTATTTGGGCAGTAATTTGTAATTGTATTTTTTAATAATAGATTCAAAATACTAGTTATATACTTATTGAAATATCTTAATTGACTTAAATTTTTATAAATCATGATTTCGTTTAGCAATTATTGGAGGGGGAATAGGAGGAACATCTGCAGCCCATTTTGTGAGAAATTTATTCCAGAATCAAAAATGTGATATTCATTTATATGAGCCTTCCAACATTGGTGGAAGACTAGCCACAGTAGAAATTTCAGGAAGAAAATATGAAGCTGGAGGATCCATCGTTCATGAGAAAAATTTCTATATGAAAAATTTAAGTGAATCACTTGGTATGGCTTTATCTTTTACTAATTACATACAATGACTTCAATGTTTTTATTTTATTCAATTTGTAATTTATTAGTATATTATTATACTNGTTGTTTGATATTCTATGTGATAACAATTGGTCAACCTGACTTTACATCATCATGCATACTTTATGATAATATTCATTTCATTTTTGTACTCTGGATAATGACACACAGTGATCTCTATATACAGCACTTGTTCTGTGAAGAATTTTCCTTCCACCTATTCCTTCTACAATCAAAAAGCATGCTACACTTGTCATCATTTTTTACTGGCTTCCATATTTGATGAAACCTGTTGGATGAATTTGTAACTATTTATTTATTTTCACTTCCTACCAACTGTTTGAAATCACATGCTCTTGTATTTACTTCAAGGTTATGCCTTATCAATTTGATCTTAATAACCAGTACAATTTGGCACTTTTTTTACAATATCCGATCTTTTCTAAATATTGCTGACTTAACATAGTTGAAAAAGATAGTGTATACCACTGTCTGTTGGCATTACATAAAAATAATTTATTTTGCGAGTACTTTCGACAATGCGCATGTGGGACAAGCAATTTGAAAAAATGTTGGTTTATGTTCTGGTTTTTTTTCTTTAATTTCAAATGTTTTGTTCTCTCTGAATAATTCTTCCTGAAGAGGACAGTTGTATACTGTTGAAAGTTTTACTTGCAAAATAAATTATTTTTACATAATGCTGACAGACGTTATCTTTTTCTATTAATATTTAGCATGTATAACTATTTAAAACTTTATTTTTAATATATAGTTTTTTTTATGCTTTATATGAAATATATGATATCATAATTTAACAGTATATAAATTTATTAAATGTAATGTTTAATAAGATCATGGTTTTAATAAACCAATCATATTAAATGTTAATTAATTATTTATTAATTAAAAATCTTGAATAATTTAATGATTATTTAGAATTTGCTACTAAAATATATGAGCTCCTATTTGCTATCAGTTTTTAATGATTAAACGATTTAATAAATTGTTTATCTTATTTGGGCAGTAATTTGTAATTGTATTTTTTAATAATAGATTCAAAATACTAGTTATATACTTATTGAAATATCTTAATTGACTTAAATTTTTATAAATCATGATTTCGTTTAGCAATTATTGGAGGGGGAATAGGAGGAACATCTGCAGCCCATTTTGTGAGAAATTTATTCCAGAATCAAAAATGTGATATTCATTTATATGAGCCTTCCAACATTGGTGGAAGACTAGCCACAGTAGAAATTTCAGGAAGAAAATATGAAGCTGGAGGATCCATCGTTCATGAGAAAAATTTCTATATGAAAAATTTAAGTGAATCACTTGGTATGGCTTTATCTTTTACTAATTACATACAATGACTTCAATGTTTTTATTTTATTCAATTTGTAATTTATTAGTATATTATTATACTTCTGATATACAGTAACTTATTTCAGTAATACAACATAAAAAACCAATAACATAACAAAAGTAATTTAATCATATTCTGAGTAACATATTGATGAACATATTACCTTGAAACTATGAAATTTATAAATTTGTTTTTCTTTCCAAATGGAGTGATATAAGTTCTTTATTTGTAGGTTTAAGTATTATTTTAGTAATTATGATATTATGATTAATATTAATCTTTAAATTAAAAAATTGCAGAATCGGTGCTATTTTTACTCATGACTTTCACTGTAGTTAATAGAAGAGCAAAACATTTTGTGATTTAGGAAATTTTGAAATAAGAATGCTATGAAGCACTGAATCTTATTTATAATTTATTTTGTATACTAGTACTTTCTATATATTAACAGGACTTATTATACTGGAAAATAATGGATGCAGATATTTAGTCTTACAGTTCACTACTGTAAGACTAAATATCTGCATCCATTATTTTTCAGTATAATAAGTCCTGTTAATATATAGAAAGTACTAGTATACAAAATAAATTATAAATAGTTAAAAAGGACAAAAAGGCATAATAATTAAACATTATTTTAATTCACTGAATCTTATGTTTAAAATTCTGAAATTTAGTTATTTATATTTAATGGTTAATTTTCCAATCATGTTTATTGCAGCAAAAGAAAAAAAAAATATGTGAAACACAAAATATTAATAANACGCGACTCCACAGCCCTGGTCAAAACACTAAACATGTTCCCAAAGCTCTATCTTAGAGGGTGTTTGGCAAAAAAATACTCGCCGGTTCCAGAACTGTTGAGTCTGCTAAACGCAGCTAATGAGAGTAATGTTGGTCTCAAATATTTTATGTTCCAAATTTCTATGCCAACACTGAAGACGGAAAAACCCATTGAGAGGCCTTGTTGTAATTAGTACTATTGAGGATAAAATAATTGAAGTACACTCCAGAACAACACTGTATAACATTCTGGTGTGAAATGAGAATATTCTTAGTGCCGGCTATCTTTTTTGCTATATGGTGATGTTCTGCTCGAACCATTCAAGTATGCAAATACTAAAAGCATCTAGAGATGGAAATTATACCTGTCGGTATCTGTTGTGAGAAGGAAGTGCTATATGTTGATGTTTCTCATAAAATTCGCTTTTCCAAAAAGTGGTGTACGGTGTTGTTGTGGGTACGTACTACAATTATTGCTAACAATAATCTCAATTGTGTCCCTAAGCTGTGGAATGACATGCAGACTTCCTACTGTACAATGTATTTTAATGTTTTAAGGGGAGACCCACCCTCGCTGTCTCACTCCAGTCTCAAAAATATGACCAATAAAAGTTATTATTTTTTTTTAAGTTATTTAAAAATATATAAAATTAATTAATTCTGTTTTTTCAAGAATAGACTGTATTTTGATTCTGGACAGAGAATATTAGAACTATGCAATGATTTAGATAAGTTAAATAAATGTTTTTCAATTTTTTATTTTAAATTAATTACCTACTTTTGGTATTTACCTATTCCTGGCAGAATGTTTATACAGGATGGTTAGAATTAAACTGACTGTTCTCAGGCATATTTGGAGCTGACTCTACTGAACTGAATCAAATGAAATGTGGTACAGTAGACCCCCCTATAACGCTTAGATACGTTCCACGCTAATCGAATTTTACATTGTAGGAACGATTAAATACATGAGCCAATCACAGCCCGATAGGTGGGAACTTTACGGACTAAGGCTGTTTGAAAGGTTTTCTTCTATAAAATTAACCGATTCTAGACTAATTCGACTCAACATTTCCAAAATACGTATAATTTTTTGGGAATAATCTGTATAAACTATGCTATAAACAAAAAATTATAGGATTACTTACCGAGTGTGTACCATTCGACTACGCCGTTGCTTAAAGCTGGTTTTCATCGC